AAAACAAAACAAAACAAAACACAAAAAAACAAAACAAAACAAAACAAAACACAAAAAAAAACAAAAACAAAAAAGCGAAACAAAAACAACAAAACAAAACACAAAAAAACAAAACAAAACAAAACACAAAACACAAAACACAAAACAAACCAAACCAAACCAAACCAAACAAAACAATCTTCTACATTAAATGTTTATTTTCAAAGAAAACCTTCAATGAATTATGTCGCGTTTCCTCGATCTTTCGATACGGAACGAAGTATCTTCAGGAGTTGCTTACGTATGCTCGCGCATGATATTCTATTTCAACCAGTTTATAAACTGATTATGCAATGTCTAATCCCATTGGTTGAAATAGAATATCATGTCATTTTTGACGTCATCAATGATGTCATTCGCATGATGTGACGTCATACACATAAATTATCGATGCAAATCTCCAGATATATAAAGTTCGGGGGTTGACATCCCTTGTTTTGTGATSTAAATGTTGGACAGTAGTTCTCCATACCTGGCAATTATGTATTGCAGCTTTGAAGAAGTCATCAAGAAGAAGATTTTCAAGATCATGGTTCTTTTGAAAAGCTTCTTTGATGTTGCCAAGAAAACGGCTGAGATAGAATAAATAGTTAAAAGTCTGAAGATTGAAAAAAGAATTTCTTTACTTACAAAGACCTTATAGAGAAAAATATAATTGAATAAGTTGGCGAAAGTACACGGGGATGATCAATCCTAACTCATTAGCAAAGTTATCCAACGAAATTTTACTTATAAGGGCTTCCACGGTGTTTCACAAACATTAAAGAATCCCAGGCAACCACAATTCAGCGTGCGCTCATGTTATTGTTTACATAGGCTTCTGTGAGGTACTTAGTTGAAGGTATTTCTGTCCAAAGTGAAAGGATGGAAGACGATTCGCGCTCACTTTAAGGAATCCTACGAATCCGCCATTTTTGTGTCCACCTAAAATGTCGCTTCGGCCCRCAAGGTACGGCGGTTGGTTGTGATTCTTTAACTTTTGTAAAAAAAACATGCAACGYGATATTCGTAAATAAAGTAAATTTGAAAAACAACGAAATGAGAATATGACACATATATCATAAACAAGAACTAGTGATAATTACAACTACTGRTGCTTGATTTAATATCATAAGTTTCTCATTAATATTCATAAGGCAAAACACAATAGAAATCATAGCCCATGAAGAGAGTTGTATATTACATACAGATTTCTTGTTCATTTGTATAAACTTTTACTCTGATTTTCTCAGTCATATTGAATTTTTTTTCAAAAGTTTCTTTAAAACCTGAGCTAATTTACCTTAACGTTTCATAAGTAATATACAATATTCGATTTGTATGAGGTTTAAAACAGCTCGCTTTCAGCTCGCTGTTTTATGTAAGAGTTACATACCGAGAACGGAGGCAATCTGCCTAATACATCCCGTACATGCCGTAGGCCCGAGGGATGTATAGGCTGATTGCCGACGTTCGAGGTATGTAACTGGCTTATTTCATACTTGAAGAAGTTTTCCAAACACTGCATTAATATTTTCATTTTTAAATAGGCAAAGAAGCCGTTTTCATATGAATTAAAAACCAAACCCTCGATGAGAAAGATTACGAAATTTACAGACCTTCTGATTATACAGCCACCTCTCCACATTAAAGCTATTCCACCATAGTTAAGATTCCAACCAAACACCTTAGCTGCTTCTCTCATCAGCATGAATCCTTGGGCATAGGACACTATCTTAGATGCATACAGTGCCTGTACAATAAAATAGTAATTATRATATTGGATGTTGCTTGATGTATAAATATAAGATAATCCCATATCATATCAAAAATATTTCTACATAAGCATGAAACAATTCTTAACTAATTAGCGCCTAATAAGATTTAGTTATCAACTAACTAAGAATTCACTGGAGCATGAACACAATGCCAGAAAGGAAGCTTGTCTTTGTTTATGCCTCACTAAAYTCTTAGTTAGTTGATAAYTAAATCTTATTAGGCGCTAATTAGTTAAGAATTGTTTCATGTTTATGTGACGTGCACTCTATGTGTGCTTAAAATATACTAATTAATTCCCTAAACCTTTTTCTCTTTCTTTTCAAAACTAGAAAATACAAGCACTAGCTATGATCCTAATGAACAGACAAACCCAATGACTTCATTTCCCTTCATGCACTGAAGAGGAAAATGGTCTTGCTGTACATTGTTTCTGCCTCTTTCAAGTTCTACCTTTCTGATGTGCTCAACAAATTCTTTTCTGTTTCCAGTGTACTTTTGGACAGATGGACCAGTAAGATGTTTGCTGGCATGTACTCTTTCATCCTTCAAAGACGACAGGCATCGAGCAAAAACTGACTCACCTTTGGGACAATAAATGTGTAAGTGAATTGTGATAATTGCAGTGAAATAAGAACAATCTAAGCGATTGTTAATAAATGTACGACCATAATTTTAACATTGTTCCCTACGTATGGATGGGTTCATATCTGGGTTGGTACTGTGTTCTTTTAGCCTGTGTACATCCATTTCTCACCCCTCCAAAAAAAATCCCCGATTCTGGAGAAAAAATCCCCGATTCTGGAGAAAAAATCCCCGATTCTGGAGAAAAAATCCCCGATTCTGGAGAAAAAATCCCCGATTCTGGAGGGGTGAGAAATGGATGCACACAGGCTACAGTGTATGTCATTTCATATTCAAAATAAATCCTTTGTATCATAGATTTTTATCTATTGTGCATATTTTCTAATCATAACAAATTAGTTAAAAGATTAAAATAATAATACTGAATTTATAACATAAAATAAATTATCAATTATCACTAACATCATAGTTTTTGCCATAACGCATCTGTCTTACCGATTAATGTAACTGGTATTCCGTACTCAAGGGCTGAAATAGCTGTCCACTTTCCAGTTCCTTTCTATTGAAAACATGCTACCTTAGTATGGCTTATATAATGTCAMCTTTCTATGTCATTGCAGGGGCAGAYCCAGAATTTTTTTGAAGGGGGGTTTGCAAAAGTTAGACTGGTGGAGAGATATAGATCATTGAGATAGGGAGTTTCGATCCAAAATTACTTTGGTTGGTGGGCAAGTACCAAAGGATTCCCAACCTGTAGTAAGTTTAAATCTTAAGAAAATGAAAACTTTGTTGGTTGTTGTTATATTAATTATGACCTTTTTTGTTTCTGTTTTCTCTATGTTAAAGATGACATCTGATGCYGATGACACTGTCCTGTACCAGTTTTTCTAAAAGATCCTCAATTACTGGAGCAAAAGTTAATGGAGATCTTCTAAAGGTTGCCAATTGGCTTCATAAAAACAAACTTACTTTAAACTTGGACAAAACAAGATTATGTTAATAGGGAGTAGCAAAAGACTCCCTGTAATTTCGTCTTTTTCATTGACTATTTTTGAGTCTAATGTAAAAAATGTTTCTAGTTTCAAGTAGCTTGGAATTAAGCTATCTGCAAACTTAACATAGACTGACCGCACTGAATATATCCCTTGTGAGATCAATTTTAGCCTTTTGAGTAGAATTAAGCATTTACTGCCACTTCATGTCCTGGTTGCTATAATTTTATAATAGCTTCATTGTGCCCGTTTTTGACTATGCTGATGTAGTTTGGCGCCACAAAGATAATGTTATAAAAGGAAAGTTGCAAGTACTCCAAAATAAGGCAGCAAAGATTAACCTGGTTGACCTTTTTAGTCTTCAGAAACGGATGCACTGAAATGGTTGAGTTTAGGGAAACGCAGACTTTACCACCACTGCTTATGTATTTTCAAATGTGTYAATAATTTGAATAAGCATTCTTTAGAAATTGTTAGAAACAGTGAAACCTATTCATATAGTACACGTAAAAAAATAATTTAAGATTGCCGAAAGTAAAGAGAAACTGGGGTAAGTTAACGGACATGCTTTCACACCATTAATGATTGGAACAATTTAGATCTATCTATCAGAGATTCGCCATCTTTAAGCATTTTTAAATCAAAATTAYGCTTTCACCTTTTACAACCTTCTTTTAGTTTTTATATCATATACTATATACTATTTATCTTTTTTTATTATAATTACTTTTTATTTAAGTTAGCCATAGTTAGTCCCTTGATCAAGTTATTACAGCTTAATTGCACTAATTCTTAACCTGTCCTGCAGAATCTCGTATCTTCTCAAGTAATGGAGCACCATCAGTGTCTTTGTATGCCAGGATATTTTTAGTGATCTCAATAAGAAATGAATCAAGTTCTCCCTTGTTCCACTCATCAAAGACCTAACAGTAGAAATGCATTAAAATATAAACACACCTAATTGCAAAAAAAAAAAAACAAAAAAAAAAAAACAATGTTATAAAAAAATGAGAACACTTATTTTTGCACTTTAATTACATGTAAGGCTGTCAAATGCTTCAAAAATTTGTTTGTACATTCTCAATGGCAATGTTGAACATGTCTGTGTGGGACTCTCAACACTTTTTAACTCATCTATCCTCAAAAAAACTTAAATCCACACCCATGATTAACTATGGTCCACCTGGAAGTATTGTATTGATCTACATGTCTATTAAATAGAGTACCGAAGTGATGACATCAAAAAAAAAATTTTCTGATTTTTCAAACTTGGCCTCCATATTCTGAAAGTGCATCATTTAATGTATTCTTGCCAAAGTGTCCTAGTGCCATTAATAGCGGAGATACAAGCAATTTTATGGTTGGGCGACCATATAGAAACTCATAAATTTATGAACCAGAGCAAATTTACAAGTGTTTGTATGTGGTCACCTGACCATAAAATTGCTTGTATCTCTGCTATTAATGGCACTAGAACATTCAAATTTGGCAGAAAGCTACTTTTTACCATGCCCTATAAGATATTTTAACGAATCCGAAAAATTCGAAAAAAAACTTTTTGTGAYGTTACGCTTCGGTACTTTATTTGGTATAGTGGCAGTACAAATGTCTTTGACAAGACAGATGACATTGACATTGCAGTGGTGACTATGCTGTACCTTGCTAATTTCATCAGCCGTCATTCCTAATGCATCTTTCATCAAGTGATAGGCTTCACAGCAAAGCTTAAACAAAGACAGTGCAAAAACAATTAAATAATGAGAAAACAACATTCATTAATTAGGCTGTTGGTAATATTGATAATAGTGATGTTTGAGATAGGTCTAGATTCTGGTTAATAGTAATCTTTATACAAAAAAAATAACTACATTGAAATTCTAAGGATATTAATATCAATTTTAGACCAAAAATAATATGTAAAAGATTATGGTTTGTAATGTATGCAGGCACCTAAATACTGCTGATATATATAATATATATAATATTACCTAGTAGACAATTTTAAAATTAAGACTTAACATATCTTGATCAGATTGGCAAATTGCTTTTTGTTGTCCCCTAAGCCTATCCCAGACAAAATTCAATAACCTATGGCATGCCTCAAAGTCTGAGAACCGTTCTGGACCACACAACACTGTGTTTATTCTTTGTGACAATAATAGAGTGATTGATCCCATCATATAATTGTCTTATGTCAACTGGACAATTATGCAGGGATTGACTTTACTACCTTACCTGCATGTCTCCATATTCTATTCCATTGTGAACCATTTTAACAAAATGACCAGAACCATCACCRCCAACCTACAAAAAAGTAAGTAGTCAGCTATATCACCTGGTTCAAATTCATATCTAAGGTACAAGAAATCGTTAGCTATCTTGAGATGCATCTAGATAGGTTTAAAAATTTTGTAAACAAGTACACCTGGGTAAWTATATGAATTCAATTAGCCTTCCATTTAATATGTTTGTTGTACATGCCAGTATATATTCAATAATGCTATAATTATATTGTATATCATTATTCTTACCTATCACGTGTCTCTCAGCTGCCAAGGGCATAATAAAAGTAAACATATCTATCTACCAAYGCACAGTCATCATTGCAATTACTAGTCTATCATGTGATGCTTTCAACTTACCCAATCACAACATGGTTCACTACCAACTTTAGCAGCAATAGCTTGAAAGATGGGTTTGATATGTGCCCTGTMAAGGAATTTGTAATAACAGTATATTATATAAATAAAAATATTCTAAGGTTTAATTTYGTTTCTAATTACCAAGCCTGCTCGGACCCCCCTGGCATGAGTGATGGCCCATAACGTGCCCCTTCTTCACCACCACTCACACCACTTCCTACAAATAGAATACCATTCTCTTGAAGATTCTTACAGCGTCTCTACAACACAATATAGTAAGTTGTAATATTACTAATGATACACAACCTCTGGTAATATTGACACAGAAAATGTTTGAAATTCTACTGATTAATAAAGTACATGTACAACCAGGTTTAAATTATAGCAATATTAAAACGATGCTTTATCATTTATGAAAATCGTCAGAAGTATGTCTGTCAAAAAAGATCTCCACATATCTGTCCTGCTAAAATATATATACAGTACATACAATGGAATCCTTGTATTCTGAATTTCCACCATCAATGATGATATCTCCAGGTTCAAGAAGAGGAAGCTGAACAGGAARAAAAGAAATAATTTTATAAATTATGAGAGACAAGGAGTGTACCCATATAATATTAACTAACAATAAAATATTCTGTACAGTATATAATATAGAAAAATAATAAACAAAAAAGAAAGGAAGGAAAAATCGAGACAGAAAGTAATGACATACCAGTTTTTCAATGAAAGTGTCAACTGCAGCACCAGCCTTTACTAACAACATGACTCTTCTTGGCTTTTTCAGCTTGGACACCATTTCTTCCATGGAATGAGCACCAATGATATTAGTCCCTATATGAAATGAACAATGAAGCATGATGAAGAAGTAGTCCAAGTATGTTAGTGTGTCTGTAAGATTTCAAAAACTTATTCTTAATTAATGAGCTAATAAACGCATGAACGGATTGCCCCATTCATTTCCAAACTTTATGGCCATTTCTCTAAGAATCATAATGATTTTGAGTTTTAAATTAGTTTTGGAGTTTTTAAAGTCATTCMATAAACTCGCAAGTCGTGTTCTATCAGGTATAAAGATTCTCCCCTTCCACTCAAGTCTTTGATAAAACACTCCTGCTCGTTTATTAAATTAAGAAATATGAAACGATGCGCGTGTCTCTGTCCTCCATGGGAGTTCGAAAAACACGAGAAGCAAGCTTAGGAACATGAGAGTAGCGAGTGTTTCTCTTGCTTCTCGAGTGTTTTTCAACTCCCACCGTCTTTATATCAGAGGACAGAGACACAAGCTGCTGTTTTATATTTCTTTTAAAAAATTTCTTGAGCGAAAAGCAAATTTTGCCAGCAAGCCGTGTCTCTGTCCTCTGATATAAACATGGTCATCAGCCAATCAAAGCGCATTATATATCGAAAATTTTATAACAGTAAATAAAACACTACATTTAATGTATCTATGTTGTATGTTGCCCACATAATGTTGCCTGCATTGCAACCAGAAAAACTAGCCTGCATAGCCAGGCTAGGACCCTCAAACCCAGAAGAGAATGCCTGCCAGAAGCCTTAATAACTTTAAAAAAGTTAAAACTAATTTGCGACTGGAAAGATGCTGCTAGCATGCTATATAGCAAAGGAAGTACTATTTATYATATTGACAAACAATTAGAACCTTTTGCTTCATTTGCCAGAAAATGATCCACTTTCTCCACAGTTCTATTGAATGCACAAACCTGAAATTTATCAAATTAAAATAAATAATATACAAATAAATAAATATACATTTCGGGGAATGCAGGAGATAAGTCTACTCACCACGAATCCATGATCGTTCATGTTCAGAATTAAATTYTGACCCTGAAACATTATAGAAAGCCCATCAAATAAGCTTTAGTACGTTAACTTCTTATATTAAAATATGATGACAAGTCAAGCGTATTATGGTTTAACTAGAGCTTCAGTGTTCTGATATACCGTTCAAGAATATCKTAACAATGACTTTCGTAACAATCAATAGTCCCATAAGTAACAAAAAAATYACTTACCATGACAGCCAGTCCGATCAAAGCGATGTCTGCTCTGAAAAACAAACATAAGCTTTATATAGAAAGCTCCATACAACTTAGTTTACTCAGGGCTAGGGTGCCATTTAGCCGACATATTTGTAAAAACTACCCTCTATTTTATATTTAACTGTTAAGCGTTTGATTAGCTAAAAGAATTGCAGTAATTAATAAAGCAACTATTTCTCACTGTTGTTTGTCAGCCATTTTGTACCGCTGCACTGTGAACTGAACTCCTGACACATACACAGGAAGCCCAATGAAATAGGCTAACTCATTGGGAAAAGGGTTTCCATATTTGGTTGTGCATGTACGGCGCAGATCGATGTGCACATAGAGAGGCAATGATGTGCACRTAGAAGGCTCTTATGTCCCAATTATGTGGAGAAGAACTTAGAAAATTTTAAGGAAGTTATCATTATTAACTGGGGGGAGGGGGGAGGAATGCCACTAAATTTGCATTGAACCCTGTTGAGAAAATAGAGGCCCTCCCTTGTAAGAAAAAGAAGAGAATGTGGCCCTCCCTTCAATTGGGTACAAAAAATTATGACCCTCGCCCCAAAATATATAAACTAGATTTTCCGATTACAAATATCTTGGAATAATGTTTTGTTGAGTAAACAACTGGTCATTTTATTTAGGGTTCATTGTACTCCTTGAAAAGCCCGGGAAATGAAAGGTTTTTATAAAGGGAATTYGAAAAGACCTTGAAAAACAGAAAAATACTGCTGGAATAYTCCTTTTAAGGTWCTTTTTGTAAACGTATTTGTGTTCACTTATTTCTTTATTGTGGGCTTTCGCTCAGTTTTCTGAGTCTCTTACAGAATTCCCTGACTAATTTCTATACTTAACCAGGACGGTCCGTTTCCAGGAGGTGTGTAGGTTGTCCCTATCACTTCAACAATTGAAAGTGCGGTCGAACTTGAACTCCCCCCCCCCCCCACCGCACTTGGCTCTACCTTTTTATACCCCACCCCATGACCCCTTGTAAGTACAAAGGCTAGACTCCAGTCCTACACCCTTCCCTCATGAGACGAGGTGGGGGAAAACCACATATGAAAGGCGGTAACAAACAAAGCCCCCATCCGCCATCCAGCCTGGAGGACGTTTGTTCCTACGGGATCTTCAAGGAAGATCCATACCAATACTACGAACATCCGATCGTCCATCGGGCACATCTTCAGCCAACGAGCAGCCGTTTGCCTGAACATCCTCTGYACCAGTAGAGCATAAACTACACTCGGCTCCGACGATCGCACACTTCGACTCATATTACACGGCCTGGACGCTCGGTTGAAACGTTTGCAATCGATCACTCACATCCCTCTCCGTAGCACTTTCTCATCCTTGTTGAAGATTTAACCGCGACCTCTAATCGGTGTCTGATTACTGACTGGGGACTTCAATTTCAAAATTGATACTACAGATAACTATGCTGCCCATTTTCTTGACTTGATCAACTTCTGGGGTCTGCATCAGCATGTTGCAAGTCCAACTCATGATCGTGGACGCATCTTGGATTTGGTAATCACAAGTGCTAATGATAACTTGGTATCCAACCTCAAGGTCTTACCCAGCATGCCATCGGATCACTCTGAAATTACTTTCCTGGTATACTTCCCTCGCCCTGCCGTATCAAAAGTTGTAACTGAGCGACGCAAACTTGAAAACATTGACATAGAACAGTTTCTCAAAGATCTTAATAATACTTCACTGTTATGTAATAACAGAACATCTGATCTGCAAGGTTTATTTACATAGTATGACTTCGATCTAAGGGACTTGGTAGACATGCATGCACCTGTCAAGAAAAGAACATCGACATGCAGACCGTTCTCTCCTTGGTTCTCGGACCATCTCCGCGAATTAAAGCGGGATAAACGTCGATGGGAAAGAAAATGGCAATCATCAAACCTTGAAATCAACAAACAAATCTACCAACAGAAGGCCAGTGACTACTACACTGCTCTTGAGATTGCAAAGACGAACTACTCCTATTACAATCTCTACATCTACGCAGTCGGAATTATTCACCCTAGTAGATGGATTGTTTACAGTGAAAAATAAGCCAATCCTACCCAAGCAAATCCTACCAAATCCAAATCCTACCAAAAATCCAAATCCAAATCCTACCAAATCCAAATCCTACCCAAGCATTCTGATTGTCACGAACTCGCGACAAGATTCTGTTCTTACTTTCAATCCAAGACCTCTGATTTACTTGACGATCTAAGGGTTAGTGACAACGTTGGTGACTGTTATCGTTACGACAAACAATCTACACCTTGTGATTGTGAGCTGACTAGTTTTTGTTCTGTGACAGCTGAAGATGTTCGATCAGTCATAATGTCATCGAGAACAAAGTAATGCAAGCTGGATCCGATACCTACAGTTCTTGTAAAGAAGTGTATTGATGTCTTGGTTCGCCCTATCKCAGTAATCGTAAACTCATCACTCACGACAGGCATTTTTCCTTCACAATTTAAGCATGKTCTGGTCACTCCAGTTATCAAAAAGAAAGATCTTGGCCCGGGGTTGCTAAAAAACTACCGACCCATCACTAATCTATCCTTCCTATCCAAAGTGACAGAACGCATTGTTTCTAATCAGCTACATCACCATCTGCAAGTGAATGGACTCTATGCCCGAATGCAGTCWGCCTAYAGACMTAACMACAKTACAGAAACAGYATTGCTGCGTGTCCATAATGACATTTGCTTGGCAYTGGACGACAATAATGACCTCTTTCTTGTCTTGTTGGACTTGAGCTCTGCATTCGACATGGTTAATCACAAGATACTTCTCAGCAGACTTCAGAACCGTTATGGTGTTCATGGTGCAGCTCTTACCTGGCTCAAATCTTACTTGAGTGGGCGGACGCAGTCTGTCAAGATTGGAAATATGACGTCTGAGCCTGCTTGTTTAGAACGTGGTGTCCCGCAAGGCTCTGTCCTTGGACCATCCTTGTTCTCTCTGTATGTTGCACCCACTGAGCATATAGTTGAAAGGTATGGTCTTACTTGCGCTGTTTATGCTGATGACACCCAGCTTTATATATCGATTGATAAAACCCAATTGCGGTGTGGAATTGCTAATCTCCAGAAGTGCATTCAAGCTATCCTCGATTGGTTGGCTGATAATGAGCTAGTTTGCAACGAATCAAAAACAGAAGCCATACGGTTTATCAGAGACATGTTACCGAACTTTCTACAATCACTATCGGTGGGTCAAAAATAAAAATTTTACTTAAAAAATAATTTTATTCTATTCAGTGTCAAAATGCATTATAAATGGGTTGAAAAAAATTTCCCCTCCCTATATATATATAGTGGCGCTCGCCAGTGTCTCAGGATAACCTCGATGCGAAGGGGTTTGGGCTATTTTGGGGTTTTTGGATTGTTTTGCCCGAAAAAGCGTTTCTATCGATGCCTCTCGTCCAAAATAAGTTAAAAAACGTTGGTTTACATATGCTGTCTCAGATAAAATTTCGTTTTGATTAATTTCGGTGCGAGAAATGGATTTTTTGGATCGTTTTTGGCTCATTTTTAGGAGAATTTCGAGCGGAGTCTCCTCCCTTGCCAGTATATATATATAAAGAGGGGAGGTTTTTTAAAACTCATTTATAATGCATTGTGGCTCTGAATAAAATAAAATTAGACTGTTTTTTAAGTAAAATTTTATTTTTAAGTATTATAGGTTCAAAGTCATTGCTTGGGCTCCCTGTGGTCCTCAGTCATATGATCCGGAAATGTAACATCCATAGTCTTGTTAACTTCAGGTTGAGGTTCAACTTCACTACGCGATCCCTCCGACAAACCTGGCACCACAGCAGCAGACTGTAACACACTTACTATTGTTCTGGGCTGAAGGGAAACAGGTTTATCCGTTGGGTTCCAAATCTCTACTGGGATTATTTGGCAGTGGTTGATCCAGGGGGGTTCCATGGGTTCCTAGGAACCCCCCTCGAGCATTAAAAAATGATAAATGAAATGTGGGTGTCTTTACATTTGCTACAGTTCGAGAGGCACAGTTAAAAAGTTCGTTTTAGGAAAATGCGAAAACAAAGTGGTTTAGGCAACTGAGATTCTGTTTCGTCGATCAACGCCGTCAACCTACCACCAACTTTTCTTGTTTTGACTGTTGCTAACAATACCGTTGACCTTTGGTTCTGTACTACCAGGGGCTTTCCATTATCTACGTTAAGCACCTTGACATCGGGTTAATACTTTCTCATGACGCGCTCCCTATTACCAAGGCACTTGTAAGCTAGACTCCATGCTCCGTCAGCCTTAATTTCTTGAAGATAACATGRGCCGTGTTTGTCTACACAGTCATCTTTACATCGTCTTATGAGATTTGTTCCTATCAGAAGGGGTGTTTTCAAGTTGAATGACTCCATTTGTCTCTTGTGGAAAAGATAAAATAGCCTCTATGATTTCTTGTGTCCACCAGCACCTTCCACTTCAATTATGTTGGATAATGGTTGAATAGGACAATCAGAAAGATTATGTTTCCAAAATGTCTCGCTTAAAGTAGTAACTTGTGAACCAGTGTCTATCAGAGCTTTACAAGGTGCTCCATCTAAAAGTACAGTACTCTCATTAACCTCGCCAACTATGTCGTTAACTTGTGACTTTGATATATTGGAGCTGGAGGGAAGACCTATCGCCTGCCCCTCGGCGCAGGTCCCCTGTAGTTTAACTGACGCTCAGTAGGTTGTTTGTTTCCATCAGTGGAAGACGAATTTCCATTGATACTCTTCTTTTCTCTCCCAATTTCTAGCTGTCC